TGGGGGAAGACCCATCAGTTCCATCTAAACAAACAAAAAATAAACCAAACCCATTGCTGTCAAGTTGGTTCCAGCTCCGGGTGACCCTACAGGACAGAGTAGAACTGCCCCACAGAGTTACCAAGGAGCACCTGGTGGATTCGAACTGCCAACCTTTTGGTTAGCAGCCGTAGCTCTTAACCACTACACACCACAAGGGTTTCCTCAGTTCCATCTAGGGTAGCATAAAATACAGTTATGATGTAACCTACACTCTAATTCTTACAAGGCCAGTTAGGGTTCGTCCACTAGCCTTAAATGTTTTACTGAGGCTTAGAAAACAAACACACAGAAAAATAGGATTCCGATACTTTTTTTCCTTGAAAAACTATCCTTTAGGGGAATAAAGTCCATTGCACCCCATGATCAAACCAAGCCAGAAAATTGTAATTTAAAGCTTCCATCATCTGGAAAATGTCTAGGGAATTGAAATGTTCTTGATAATACCAAAGTAATCAGACTTTCTTGTCCTAGATAAAGAATGACTATCTTGGCTTTAGGCACTCAAAGTTTCTCCACATTTGTAAGGAACAGCAGATATAAGCCTCAGTTTCCTAAAATGTAAAACAGGGTAACAATAGTACCTTCTTCAAAGAGTTGTTGTAAGGATTTTCAAGAGATAACCTATGTAAATCACTTAGCACTGTGAGTTAACAAAGGCAAATGTTACCTGAATAGGAGAAAATAGAGGAACAATGAGGCCTCTTTGATCTATCCTATGCTTTGTCTGCTGCGGGTGGGAAGGGGGAGATGTTGTCTGTTGGCGGGCGAATTTATTGCTTTGTGGTAGTAGTGAATTTTCCTAAAGCTGTTTCCCTCTGATCATTAATAATCCCTGCACAGTAAAGGGCTATTGTTCTTCAGTATGAGTAAATAACCCTGTCGGAGGCACAGCTTATCTTCAGACCACAGCGCATGCTTCTTACTGGAAATATAATGCTGGTGCCAACACCAAAGGCATCACCAGACTTCCCTTCCTATTTTTCTTCCTTTATCTCTTACTCCTTGTTTATCCTTCAGAGCAATTTTCTCCTATATCTGTTATACTCCCTACTTTTTGGCGTATATCTGTATCCTATATAGTATCATCCTTACCCAAAGTGAGTAACCTTCAAGATAAACTGTGCCCCACACATCTCTCTCCCTCTCCCCTCCCCTCCCCGCTCAATCAGTCAACACACACACACACACCATGGACTTGTTTCCTGTTCTGGATTCAGTTTTTGGTTACTAGAATCCAAAAAGGGAAGCGTAATGCCACATACTGTTTTGCAAATCTCAGGATATGCTTGCGTGGTGTACTTAATCATACCACAGCTATTCTCTGAAACAGCATCTTTTTACACAGAAAGTGACAAGAATACAGTGGGGGCAGGGTGGAAAGGCTAGACCATATCTTTATTTTACTTAAAGGAAAAGAAATTAGGCTAGACTCTGTCAGATGGAAAGTCTTAAGAACATGGGGAAAATCCAAAAATATTGATGTCTCGCAGACTTTTAAAATAACTATCCCAAACAAGACCCTGCAAGGCAAGTATACCCGTTCTAAATATATTATGCCACCACTGGATTATACCTGTGTAGGGGAACTCCAATCAGGCTATTGTAACCATAAGAGATACTGCCATTTTTTCCCCTTAGGGATAGAAATTCTAAATGGAAACCAAATTTCTTGGTCCCTTTAATTCAAAAGACATTTAAGTATCTGTTTCTTTATCTGCATTTTTAGGAGACAAAGGTAGGGTAAGGGTCAGCTGGAGGTGGTGGGAACCAGTTACCAAAAGTAGAAGGCAGTGTTAGAGGTGTATGGGAAGGGCTAAAAATAGATGGAAAACTAGGCCAACCAACCCCAGTCATTCATTCATAACTACCCAGCCAGGATCTTCAACCCTCCATAGGAACTAGGGAAGTTGGAAAGCTCAAAATACTAATTTAAATTCCTCCTTTGAAATAATTTTTTAAGGAATTGCCAATAGGAAACTGGCAAAAGGCTTCAGTTATAACAGTAGATACAGCTGGAGCTTTCTAGCATCTGACCCTTGTTCCAACCATCTAATACATAATGGTACTCTGCACAGGTGCAGCTTCCAAGTACCTTCCAACTATCAAATAACTATCAAATGAACAACTTTTGTCATCTGCAGAGGCCCCTGAGCAAAGACCAAGTTCCTTGAGAGTAGCAGGCACGACTGATTCATTTTTACATGTGGGAAACAATTAGCACCCTGGGTACCTTCAAGATCCTCCAGTCTAGCACTGACCAAGAGAACTTTTCTGTGATATTGGAAATGTTCTGTGTCTATGCTGTGCAACAGGGTAAGCCACAGGTCACTACTGGGCACTTGAAACGTTGTTAGTGCATCTGAAGAGGTGAATTTTTTATTTTATTTAATTAATTTACATTTAAATAGCCACATGTGGCTAGTGGCTACATACTGGACAGCACAGCTCAAGACCAATGATTCCAAGTCAAATGCCCACAAGGGTCATGCAAACATGAGCCACATAAAAAGGGGGAAGCTTCAGTTGACTGTTACTGTGTAGGAGCCTCAGGACAGAGATGGTTTTTCAAATGAAGTAAAAAATCTGGATTTTCATGTCAAATTTTTAAATGTTAACAAGCAAATTTTAAAGAGTTCAAATCACTTTGCAGGCAGAACAATGTTTGTGGGTAGAATCTGTCTTGTCAGTTTACAATCTCTAATCTAGGCCAACCCCTCAAGCTCAAAGAGAAGGACCTTACCCAAGGTCACTCCGTTGGTTAGTGGCAGATAAGATTGAAATCCTGGCCTTCTGATTCTTTTTCTGACACTATTCCCATTAAAATGGACTGTATCTAGATTGTGGTGGTGGCAGAAGTGACAGCAGGGGCAGGACAAAAACCCCTTTGTCAGAAACTGTTGAATTTCATGGCAGATACCTTATGAATACAGTGACCCTACTGTTGTGTTCCTACCCAGCTACAGTGACATGTTGGGCCTTCTGGGCAAAGCTCTGTACTAGAAGCCAGGAGACCACAAAGCAGAAACAGTCCCAGCTCTCAAAGAGTTTATAGTTTATGAGGGAGACAGACATGTAAATAATTTAAAGTCAGGCTTGCTATAATGGACACAAATTACCTGCACACAAGTCCAAAAGCTCTGACAGCTGGGAGAGGAAAGAAGGGATGAGACCTGAACCAGGCCTTAGCTGACGGGTAGAAGCTAGCCAATGGGTAGATGAGTCTTCACTGATTATGAGGGCAGATCTCATTATTCCAGGATATTAACGGGGTGGGGGGGCTCCTCCTTATATCTTTGAGGCCTTGTTAAGACTGTCCTTTGCTGGCTTCTCCTTCTGTGTGTAATGCTAAATGTTGAAAGCCCCAGGGAGTTTAGTCCTGGGCCTTCCTCTTTTATCTACAACCTCTTCCAAGGTTATATATATTCTGACAACCCCAAATATCTATTATCTCCAACTATGACTTTACCACTGACTTGCATATCTAACTTCTCGACATCTTCATTTGGATGGCTAATAAACTTCTCAAACTTACTATGTTCAAGAGAGAACTTCTGATAGTCCTTTCCAAACAGTCTTCCCTCTGGTCTTCCCCATTAAGAGCCATCCTTGGTCCCTCCCTCTCTCAAGAACCATATATTCAATTCAGCCGCCAAGTCTTGCTCCAAACTATACTGAATCTAATTCTCTCCATTTCCACTGTGACTACTCTAGTCAAAAACAGCAACATCTCTCCCTTCACCTACTTCAACAGCTTCCCAGCAGGCTTGACCACTTCCAACCTTCTCTATCCAGTAGCCATAGTGATTTTTCAAAAAATGTAACTCAGGTCAGGTCACTCCACTTCTTAAAACCCTTCGCCGGTTTTCCCATCACATTTAACATAATATCCAAGCTCTTACCATAGCCTAAAACACCCTGCTTTATCAGGCCCTGCCAGTTCTTCAACACTTGCTCTTTCTGCTGCAGCCACATGGCCTTCTCGCTGTTTCCTTCATCAGAACCTTTCCTTGCTCTTTTCCCCACCCGGAAAGCTCATCCCCTATCTTCTCTCGGATCTCAGAAAGTCTCCTCCTCTGAAAAGGGAGCCCAGGTGGCATCTCCTGCACTCGAATGGAAAGTCACGGAGCAAGGCTTTTGTCGTGTTCCCAAGTTTGTAGTCCGAGGGAATTATGAAGCTAGCTTTCATGGTCCTAGAACGTATTCTTTCTTCAACGGGGCCTCGTTTGAGTCAGCCTTCCCCAGCCAGACGCCTCTTACCCTTGGCGCGCTGGGTAGGAGGGAATAACCCCTACTATCTCCCACTCACATTTGGGAATCCAAATGACTCAGAAGTTTCTAATGGGCCCCAAACCGGCATCTCCGCGTTCCCAAACCAGGTGTCCCCTTTCTGCACGCGGGCTGCTTCCCTGAGGCTGGATCCCGAGGCCAGTGGCGATGACACCGAGCTGCCCTCGCGAGGCTGGGGTCACACAAGCGCGTCTCCTAGCAACCCCGCGCCCACCCTCCCATCCTTACCCCTGGGGAGCCAACCCCTTTCCCCAGTCTCCCGCGCCTGGAGTCAGTGTCTCCATCCCCTACACTCACTCTGCGTCAGTCCTGCCTTTCCCCACCCACAGAAGCGCAGCAGCCCCCGGCGGGTTGGGAGGAGGCGGTGCCAGGAACCCAGCGGTGCTGCGGCCGAAGGAGCGCAGACAGGTCTGGTAGGCCAGGCCGGACCAAACCACCGGGCGGAGCTTTGTGGGAATATTACTCTCAGGTCGGGTGGTGGTCTCGAGTCTCCATGAAATTCAAACTCTACTCCACCCTCCGCTGTCTACTCAACAATATAGCCAACCTCATCTTAACCCTATTTTCCCTTTACCCCTTTCGCTATTCTTCTCCCCCAACTCCAGCCAAAAAAATGGGCCAGTCCAGCCCCTCCTAGCTCTCCCTCCCCGTCGCTCTGTCTTTGCCCTTACTTGGCGACGGCTTCGTACGTCCTTGCGTACGTTGTGACGCAATCTTCCACCCATTCTCTCCCAGCCCCTCTCCCTCTCATTCTCCCTCCCGGAGCAGGCGGCCTGCGGGGTTACCGGAAGTGATGATGCAGGAGGCGATGGAGGGGGCGGGGCTTCGGGGCGGCTGCCGCCGGTGGGCCGCAGATGAAAAGGAGGCGGCGGCAGTGGTGGAAGATGAGGCGGTGGTGGCGGGGGTAGGAAGCCTGAAAACGCAAGTGGGGATGGTAGGTGGTTTGGACCCGCCGAGCCGCCGTCGTTTCCAGAAAGGGTTTGACTGGAGGAACCTCTGGAGCAGCTGTGAGTTTGGTGGGGGTAGGGAGTAAGTGAGGAAAGAGGGAAATTGAGAGATGAAGGGGCGGGGGTTCGGTACCTTCGAGAAAGGGGAGGTGTAAAGGGGGGAGTGGAAATCAGCGCCCAGTCTGAACTGGTCTCTCTGGAAGAAGAGGCTGTGAGGGGAGCCTGTGGCGTGTCAGCCGCAGGGCTCAGAAAACTTACCTACTGTCTCTGCCTCCCCCCGCCAGCACCCCTCAACACAGGACCTGGGGATCTGGGGCCGGAGCTGCCCTGGAGTGGGTGCAGACTCTGGCCCTATGCCCCGGGTAAGTGCTGTGAGGTAGGAGCCCAAGGGGGAGTTGGTGGGTCAATCTCCAGCTCCCTCCGCCTTCATTTCCCTCCCCACCCCCATCCTTCTCTTTAATCATTAACAGCCCTGGAATTAAGGGGCTCAGACCTGAAGGCCTTTCTGTGCACCTTTGCTATAAACGGTAACCATCTGTGCCTGAGGTAATGGGGCTCGAGGCTTTGCCTGTGTCCTGTATAGGAAGTGGGACGGGGTGACAAATGTATTGTTTTTTTCCCATGCCGCCTCACCCCTTATCTCCCCCATGCACACCCCTCGTTTCCACTTTACTTCACTGTGGTTGTGTGGCAATCGTTTTTTTTTTTTTTTAAATGGCACTTAGTATCTTGCTTACCGCTTTTGAATTTGGTGCTCAGCCTCTATCCCAGATCTTTACTGCAAGCTTTGTAATAGTTCATTTACGGGCTGTGTCATATCGGGAGTACCTCTCAATGCCTGGTAGCTCCCGATTATAATGAGCATTTTCTCCTATGAATACCAGAATTCCAAAGCCCTTTCAAAGATTCCTAAATGGCATCATCGCCCAGGAATCAAGGTCTCTTGCTCTAAATACTTTATGTGTGAGGAGTTTACATGTTGTCAACTCTTTCCAAAATTATTTGATGTTGGGCTAATTCTGGATTTCTGTATTGCTCTCCACCCACACTTCAAAGAACAGAAAATCCCATATTACTTTTTTGTTTCCACAATTGGACAATAGCCCTTTTATTTCCTTCTCCAGTTGTGTGTCTGGCACACACGTCTTCAATGACACCTACGTCTTGTGCTGATTTCCATCTTGATTATTTAGCTGATTCTTTGTGTATAGGTGATCTTCAGTGAGGCAGTAGTGATCTGTTTAGTTGTGTTTTAAAGGCGATTACAAAGCAATAACAGATGTGAAAAATTGTCGTAATTAAGAAAACTAAGAATGGTCTCTTTGTTGATATTTTGTTGGTTTAAAAAAAAAAAAAATCACCAGGTAGCAGTCCTGTAGCCTGTCATGGATTTCAGAGTGAAGGGTAATGATTCCAGTTTAGGTGCTGACGTTTTCTTTGGAAATCCTCCATCTAATCTAGGACTGTATTTTCTGAAGAACTTTAAGAGATAGTGCCCAAATCTTAGGAGTCCTATGAGTAGGGAGTGTGTCCATAAATCCTGCCCCTCTGTAACTGAGCTTGAGATGCATATCATTAGAAGAATTATCATAAGGCGCGTGCTGAGCTGAGGAGAGAGTCCCATTCTACTTCTCAGGACTTTCAGGCCTGATGAAACAGAATATTTAATGTTTTGATTATGCAAGTAACAGTGTGTTTAGATGTTTCACAGAAACACAACAAAAGAAAAGAATGACTGCTGATCTCACCTTAATTGGTTTGGATCCTAGTTTGCCACTGAATAAATAGTGCAAAATTCATTAAAAAAATATTTATTGACTGGCTACTAAGTGCTAGCCAGTGTTTCAGGCACTGGGTGTACAAAGGTAAGCACAAGCAAAAAGTCCATGCTTTCACTGAGCTTACATCGGAGGAGGGTGGGGACTGGAACAGAGAGACAGATAATAAATAATCAAAGTGAAGAAAATAGGATTGATGTGATAGAATGTGTCTAACTGGGAGGCAGTCAAGGAAGACCTTTCTGAGGAGGTGACAAATTGACTTTTAGGTAAAAAGGAGTCAGGCATCCAAAGATAAGGAGACGTGCCTTCTAGGTTCCAGGAACAGCTAGTGCAGAAACTGACTGGAATGAGGTTCAGGGACTGGGGGAAAAAGGGATGGAGAGGGGGACAATGTGTGGAGGCAGTAATAGCCAAAGTTAAGTGAGCAAAGGGAAGAGTGAAAAACAGACAAGGTCAGAAACGTGGGGACAGATCTCAAAATAGATAGGCAAAATAAGAGCAAGCAGGGGAAGGGAAGAGAAAATGATGCTTCTTTTTAATTCTGTGGGCTTTCCTAGAGTCTTATCACTTACTGTTTTGCAGAGACTGTTGGACTATTGTAGTAAAAAGTAACCCTGCTGAGAGTGCAAGAGGAAGAGGCAATGGTCACCTGAGTCTTTTCTGGCAGATAAATCTATCTGTTTTCCAAGAGAAAATTCAGCAGGATGTTCAGCTGAGGGCACACCTTTTTGCTTAAGGATCATGTCTTATGTGCTGCTATTTTAAATTGCATAGTAAGTCTTCTAGTATAGGAATCCTCCTTTGCATCCAGCTCTGGGTGAACTTAGGGTTGAAGGATTGGCCAAGTAATAATAATATGCCCCTGTTGGTCTACAAAGGTGACCATCAGGATCTAAGTTTGAAGTTGTTTTTTTTGTAGAGAGGCAGGATTTGTGTTGCAGTGGTCTTCCTGGTCTGGTCTTTCGGATGACTAATAACGCTCAGCTGAGGTGCAGGTTGGCGCTAGAAATTCACTCAGTGGGTTACATTAGGTAAATGACCATTGAGGGACTGATCCCACTATGTTGGCATCTCTGGGCTGCCCTGTAACCAAGGGATGTAACCTATTTTTGCCTTCAGTTGGGGCTATTCGTTTAATAGTCTCCTGCTTTTCAGCCTTACCTTGACCACATTGTTAACTTAAGAGAGGCTAATCAAGACTCCTCCTTGATTTTGCCCTCTTGAACCCATGTCACAGTAGGCTGAAACAGAAAGAATTTGCTTTTTCCCTTTGAACCTCACAACCATAACTAGTGTGTTCTTTGGGTGGATTGGTCCTTTAAGCCAGGGGGTTGAGGGACTTAAATGGTGCCTGGACTATTTGTAGTAAACTCAGTGTTATTGTTGCTATTGTTGCTAACTGCCGTCTAGTAGGTCTCCAACCCATGATGACCCCATGTACAACAGAACGAAACACTGCCTGGTCCTGTACCATCCCCATGATCGGTTTGGGATTGGACCAGACTGTTGTGATTCATAGAATTTTTACTGGCTGATTTTAAGTAGATCACCAGGCCTTCCTTCCTAGTTTGTCTTAGTCTGGAAGCTCCTCTGTAACCTGTTCAGCATCATAGCAACATGCAAACCTTCACTGACAGATAGGTGGTGGCTGCATTGGTGGTACATTGGCTGGAATCAAACCCAGATGTCCCGCATGGAAGATAAGAATTCTACCACTGAACTACCCATGCCTCCATAAACTCGGTATTAGAAATGGTAAATAAAACTTTTTGGTGTATGGGAAAGTAGAATCAGAAGTTAAAGACTTCTGTTTTAGGTTCTAGTACTGTAGTAGCTCCTGAAGATGGGGTGTCAGAACTTGAACAGAGCTTCCTGGGCAGTCCCTAGGCTAATGGAGGGGATGGAGTAGAGCCTGGTACTGAATTCCAACTTGAATGCAAATAAAGTCTTTTAGTATACACGTTGCATACAGTTAGGACCAGGCAAACAGTATACTTCGCTCCCCACCCCATACTCCCACGCCCCGTACTAAAGAGTCACTCAAAGGAATGGAGAATTGACAGTGATACTTCTTTATTTTTGACTTTGGCCCAAGTGAAAAAAAAATTAGACTTAACTCTGTATCCTAATGCTGTGCTTAAAATGCTGTAGCCAATGGGTTATTAGGCTGTCCACTATTCATCTTTGTTTCAATGGTTTATTATAACTCAAATATGAAAATATCCCGTAGGCTGAAATTTCATCAGCCATTTGGAGACTGGTGGTTCTTTTCTAATTTCCAAAAGGAGGTGGATGGGTAGGAGGGGACTTGAACACAGGGAGAAGCCATTGACTCCTACTTCGGCCACTAATTGTGTTTGGGAAAAGAATCTGCAATTCTAAGTGAATTTGGATTCCCTGCGCTGAGCTGGCCTTTTAATCCAGGTTACCAGTGGATTTGTTTCTTAAACTTTGGGGACTTTTGGACAAACTCTTCTGAAAGGTGGCAGCCTAGCAGGCCAGTTGATACCATTTGCTATTGGGCTTGTAAGTGAGTGGTTTTTCATTTCATCAGATGGCTTAAAGTTAATCTGATTTTGCTATTGTTTTGATATATACACTGCAGTGAGGAGAGTTTAATTGTACACTGCATGCCAGTTGTTTTGAGGTGAGGACTTGGTAACTCAGATTGAAACAATGGTAATTATGTGGTAGCTCCTGTTTCCCCAGCTCTTGATAACTTACAATTACTTCTTTGTGTCTTTTTATAGGTGTTGATACCAGTGAACCAGGATCACTTCTCCTTAAATGTTGGAACAGTGTTCTGAAGTTCTTTCCACAGGGTATTTTATTGAGTTAGTATCCTTCAATTCAAATCAAGTCTCACTAGTTATTTGTGTCTTTTTCTAGGTGATGGGGGGTCCTATTTCATATAGGGGAAAAAGGAGGTTACCACAGTGCATTTGACCATTTAATTGTAATTACAAACCAGAACTTAAATATCAATTTAGTGAAATAATGGGGCAAAAAGTTGGAAGTGACACAAACTTTTAATTCTTTGGAGCTGTGATGTGCTGAAAATAGGAGGGGGAAATGCTAAATCTTTAAGATGTGGTAGTATTTAATTACCATGCAGCAGAGTAGAGAAGCTCAGTAAGTCAATCCACCCTGGATGGAGGTGATAATTAGCCCTTGTTGTGGCAGAATAAGCCACCTGTGGTCAGCGCCTGCAACCAACCTGACATCATGCTGATGACTCCTCCTGCCTTCCCCAGGGGTTGGCTTTGCTCAAGAGTGTCCTCTTAGCTGTGCTGCATTGTTTGGTTTTGGGATGAATTGCAGCATGGAGGCTTGGATTGCATACTGTTGGGAAGTATCATCCGTATTTCTGTTCTACCCTCCTCTGCTGGAGGTCTCAACCTCAGGAGCAGAGGACTGAAAAAAACTCTTGTCTCTGAGGCCTGTATGTCTAGACCTGATCCAATAACTGACCAAGGATCTCGGATAGCACCATTGCATAGTGTAGGACTTTTTATTTTTTGGAGTGTGCTTAGCATCTTGTAACCATACCTCTCTATCTACCTGTCAGTCCAGGAGACAGTGTATAGAGAAGACCTGTCCCCGTATGTTAGTAGTAGATTGCTCCTACACTGTCAAGACAGCAGAGTTCAGTTACATCTTTTAGCTCTGCTTGGTTGATGAAGGGTTTGGACTCTATGCAGTGTTTTCCTGAAGTGAGTTGGTGTGTGACCTATAATTTTGATTCTGAGCAAGACTCAAGTCATAGCATTTACTGTATCGAATTCTGCTAATTCCTCTCCTTCCAGTTTAGGAAGAAGCAAGAAAAAATCAGACCCTTGCAAAACCGTAGAAAATCTGGTGTGATTCTTTTTTTTTTAAGCTGGGCTTTGAGCAGTTCTCTAAGGGACCATTGCTGAAGTAAGCTTGTGGCAGGGATGAGGGAGTTTTGCTGTCTTCTGTTTCACCCCACTGTGCTCACCCTGTGAAAGATTAATATTCTGTTATATTGGACTTCCACATAAAATTTCAATTGAACAAAACATTCTGAGGCTGAAAACAGGTTGAAAACCTGTGATTAAGTGGGGTAACAGAAATCTAGAAAGGGTAGTAACTAAAGTCACAGAGCAAGGTACTGGCAGCTTCAGGACTAGAGTCAGGCCTTCTCTGCACTAAATTTTGTTCTCAGCTACATGGCCTCTCAGACAGCAGTGAGTCGTAGGCACTGAGTAGAGTTTGAGTTGAATTGAATGCTTGGTATTGGTCTTCTGTTTTCCTAGGTTCTTACTCTATTTAGTTTCTGAACTTTCAACTTGACGTTTTGTCAAAAGCAATTAATCTATCAAGAAGACTCCTTCTAACCAGATCTGAAGCGTATGTGAAGTTATTAATGGATAATGGGATGGGAGACTCCCTAGTTTAGCAGAAGTTTTGGCTACTTATTAGGAGAGCTGGTCTTTTCCCCTCAGAATATTCCTGAAAGTGACCATAAACCAAACCTGTTACTGTTGAGTCAATAGCAACCCTATAGGACAGAGTAGAACTGCCCCATAGTGTTTCCAAGGAGCAGCTGATGGATTCAAACTGCTGGCCTTTTGGTTAGCAACTTGAGCTCTTAACCACTGTGCCTTTCAAATAGAAGTTGAGGCTTTTTTCACTGTAAGTCTTAAGCTAAGTTAGTGGGCATGCTATAGAGAATACCTATGCAAAATGCTGAAACATAGACTGCCTTTTCCCAGTGACTTGCCCTGGAATCTGAACAGGAAAACCCAGGTGTACCCATTGACAGGCAGCTTTAGAGTAGCTCAACCACAATGGCCACATTCTGTTTTCTTTTTGTTTGTAGCCATGAAGCAGATTAGCTTTCAGTGAAACACTTGCTTTATATCTACTTGAGGACTACCTAGTGGCTGGTCTTCAACAGGAGAAGGAGATTAGGAATACCAGTGCAGTGAGGTGCTTGTACTCTAGGAGAGTTGGTCCTAGGTACAGGATTGTGGACATGCTGGAAGTCCCAGGCCCTCTGAAGGGATGCTTTTCTCACTTGTGACATTTTCTTTCTTCTAAGTAAGTGGAGTTTGGGAGTGGGGGGTGACATGATGAATGCTCTTGTGTCCATTTACAAGAATGTTTCCATGGTTCTTTTTCTCCAAGTAAATTAGTTTTTATTTGAAGTAACTAGTCATGTATCCAGTCATTTTTTACTTAACAACACTTGGTTATAGCTGAGGTACATGATGAGGAAAATTTGCTTGGGGATTAACCTTTTATGCGAGAGAATAGCCTAAAGACTTTCTCAGAGACGTTAAGATGGGTGGGCTCGGTGGGTGAGGGGGACATGCAGGGGTAGGCCTTTGGGAGGGCAGGGTGATGTTGATAGTGTTGTGGACTAGGTGTACAGGGTGAAGAGAAATGCTCATCATTGATCCAGCTGGGAAAGGGTGGAAAATGCTGACCATGTAACTTAACTGGGGGAAGAGTGGGTGGGGAAGGAGCAGGCCCATAGGACTGCCCAACTCCAGGGAGTACCATTCACAAGGAGGAGGATGGGACCCTGTGGAGTTGAGCGATGCAGTGGCCCTGACCACAAGTCCTCTCTCCCCCTACTGGAAAGTGCATTTCTGCTGAGGAGGGATGAGTGGCTGGTTTGACTGCATTGGTCCTTAGGATTGACTGGTGTGTCATGATTGACTGCTTATGGAGTTGTCTTAGTCATCTAGTGCTGCTATAACAGAATACTACAAGTGGATGGCTTTAATAAAGAGAAATGTATTCTCTCACAGCCTAGTAGGGTAGAAGTCTGAATTCAGGACGCCAGCTCCAGAGGAAGGCTTTCTCTCTCTGTCAGCTCTGGAGGAAAGTCCTTCTCTTCAATCTTCCCTTGGTCTAGGAGCTTCTCCACGTAGGAACCCCGGGTCCAAAGGACGTGCTTTGCTCTTGGCGCTGCTTTCTTGGTGGTATGAAGTCCACCTGTCTGTCTGCTTGCTTCTCTCTTTTATAGCTCAAAAAAGATTGGCTCAACAGAATCCAATCTTGTAGATTGAGTCCTGCCTCATTAACATAACTGCCACTGATCCCATCTCGTCAACATTATAGAGAGAGGATTTATAACACACAGGAAAATCACATCAGTTGACAGAATGGTGGACAGTCACACAACACTGGGAATCATGACCCAGCCAACTTGATACGCATATTTTTTGAGGATACAGTTTAATCCATGGCAGGAGTAGTGGCCTAATTTTTTTTGAGATCCCTGTCTCTTTTGACTTTTTTATTTCACGTATCAGAAGTTGGTAAATTAGAGGGAATATCATGTCCTGGGGTCCATTTGTGTTTGGGTTAAAGTACATAGTGATGAGAACACTGAATGGTGGCTATTGTCACTTAATGTCTACTATCTAAAGGGCACAGTTACATGTAAACTATTGAGGTAATTCATGACTCTTTCATGGGAATTATAAATAAATATAAATATAAACTATAAAT